GAAATATTACACGCCGAGTGGGTATGGATATCCGACAGATGTCCGACGAATCTTTTTTGGATGAAAATGGATGTCCGACGTCCAGAACGGTCCATGGAACGGTTCATTGAATGTCCATGTGTTATCTGGGTTATCACGAATCACATGTTGAAATTTCAAAATTAAAAATTTAATCCGCCATTTTAGATCCTCCATTTTCAATTTTAAAATTTTAACATGTGATTTGTGATGAGTGACCAGATAAATATACATATTGACTTTCATGATTAGAATGCTTTTTACAAAAAATTTAGTAACGGACAATTGGAAAGAGAGAGGAAGGAGAGGGAGGAAAAGAGGATGAGTGGGAGTAATGGGGAGGGCGGGAGCGAGGAGATGGGGCGAGAGGGAGGGAGAGGGAAAAGAAGGGAGGGAGGAAAGAGAGAGAGAGAAGGGAAGAGTTTGAGAAGGAAGGGGAGAGAGAGAGAAAAAGAAACGTATAACTGGGGGACACTGCGATAAATGATGTTTCTTATGTTTCGATCACTTTTTTTTAGGAAAACATTTCCTGCTTGGGACTTCTGGTATTTTTATCATAAAGCATAAGTCTTGAGCTTCATTTTGAGATCATTCATTTGAGTCACTGCTTTCTGGAGCACGTCCCCATCGAAAAGTATAACTCGCACAGAAATATCAAAAACGCCTATTTTTACAACTTTGACTGAGGTTTTCTCAAAAACTTGACGTGATATGCCACTTTTACAGTCAGATTCGTAACCAGCGCTAAAAAATTTACTAGAGATAACTTGACAGAACTTAAAGCAAAAGGGTCTCATTTTATCGCGATCAGTGTTATTTATTACATTTTTTTTCGGCAAACTTAGAGAACATTCTTTTATTGTTCTTTTTCTCATAGTCATCTTGCATGATGAGAATTATTGGGATACACAGAGGGTGCGTTCCACTTGTAGTTCGCAACGCCCAGATCGTCCTTTATGCCGTTCCATTTGACGACCGGTGAGCCGGCGTGAGCGTTTGACGTCACAGATTTAAGAGTTGTTCCGCGCGCTTCCGTATTTTAGTTTTTCGTGCATAAAAATGGAAAAAGTAACTTAATTATTATAAATTAATATGTAATTATTAATAATTATTATTAATAAAATTAATGAATTAGATAAATAATAATATGAAAACATTGTAAAATTCAATATAAAAATTATATTTGATTCTAAAATAATTTTTTGCATAAATAATTATTTAAAAATTTTAATTTAAAACTAATAGTAAATATTATTATCAGATTATTATCTGATAACTAACCTAAAATGGTTTTTAAATTCATAATCAACATAATGCGCAACAATAGATTGTGCATAATTTTTTATTTGGGGACGTACAATATGCTTTTTTTCTTCTATTAATTGGCATTTATCATCCGAACTCGAATCCGAACTTTTCGAGGAGTAAAGGCCATCACATACAAAATTCCGTAAGAACATAAGACGTAAGCGTTAAGCCCGTATCAGACTACGTATTGAAGATTGAAATTTGACCAATCAGGATAAAAGGAACTAAAATTTCCTTGTCCTGATTAGTCAAATTTTAATCTCAATGCATGGTCTGATACGGGCTTAAGAAAATTGACCAATCCCAATCGAGTATTGGGCTTTTCGTAAAAGTGTAGGGATCTAGACCGAGCGTTTGCCTTTATTAAGGAGTGGGGGTAAAGATACACGTAGAAAAGGACATACTCTGTTCCGTGCCCCTTGAGTTTTTTCTCGTTCGCACAGAGCATAGCGCTCTCTTTCGTCATGCTACGTGCGAGCGAGAGAGAACGCAAGGGGCACGAAACAGAGTATGTCCTTTTGCACCTCGGCTCCCACTCCTCAACACTCGGTCTACATATACTATGTCTATGGATGACACACTACTTACTAATTACTACCACAACTAAACGTAAGACTATACATATACGAATATTCAAGATGGCGACAAAATGGTCCAAATTATTCCATTTGGCAAACCTGGCCACATAGGGAACATTTTTCGTGACCAACTTTTTTCCTTTCTACACTATCGAGATAAAGGCTGATTTAGCCTTAACTCTCTTTAAGGCTGATTTATGCAGGCCGTAACTGTTAATTTATGCCGGAACCGTTAAAGTTTAACACTAGGATTACAATGCTTTTGTACAATGGCATTATGAACAAAAGCATTGTAATCCTAGTGTTAAACTTTAACGGTTCCGGCATAAATTAACAGTTACGGCCTGCATAAATCAGCCTTTACTCTTCCTTCATGGCTTACATCTTACGTCCTTACGGAATTTTGTGTGTGATGGCCTTAATTAATATTTGCACGGTAGTAGCACAGTATATACAGTAGCGCAACTCTCCCAATTTTGTGTTGGCCAAAACGGAGTGCGCATGCGCGAAATAAGTAAGTTGGCCAGTAACGCCATCTAAATTTCTCTCTCACTTACTCTTTTTTTTACAATTTATCTGTATATATTTTTTATTAAAATACATTATTTTGGATTATTATTTATTGCTACATATGTATCAATGAGTTAGAGAGAGAACGAAAAACGAGTGTGAGCGAGAGAAAAGTTCAGATGGCGTTACCGACCAACTTACTTATTTCGCGCATGCGCACTCCGTTTTGACCAACACTAACATCAAAGGTGCCGACAGGGAGTTGCGCTACTGTATATACTGTGGTAGTAGCAATCACAATCTCCGCCATGTTCACGATTTCCTAATTCTCATAACTTGTTCCATTTACCACCACGCTGACACAAATGGAACGAGTAATTGCGACGTGCGGGCTTGAGCGTTGCGAACTACAAATGGAACGCACCCAGGACGCGACGCTTGCCGCGCGGCAAAAGACGATGCGATAGCTAATTAATTTTTTGCTCTTATGGAAAAGTTATAAGTTGATTAGTTACCGCCATCACCTTTTGCTGCGCGGCAAGCGTTGTCGCGTCTGTATGCAGAAGCTAATAGCCAATAGCGTTTTCGAGTGAAGCAAGTGTGATCGCTTCGAGATAAATAACGTCATAAAATCCGTTTTGGATTATTAAGACCCTGCGCACAATAGAGAAAATATTAGGAATAGGAATAAAATATTAAATATCAGGAGGAGCAATTTAAAATCATTTTACTTCAAACAAGGGAACGGAATGGATTCACGCATAATGAAATAAAAAAATAAAAATTAGAAATAATTAATCCATTCCGTTTCCTTGTTTAAAGTAAAATAATTCCAAATTGCTCCTCCTGATATTTAATATTTTATTCCTATTCCTAATATTTTCTCTATTGTGCGCAGGGCCTAAGAGTACTTGGATTATTAGATTAATCAATAAAATACTTCGAGTAATCATTTGATTGATTTTAATCATGGTAAAGAATCTTGTGCTTCAAAGCCAAAATAGCATCAAACGGGATATACTTCATATTATTTATATTAATCAAATTTAAAACCCATTTTCGGTAGAACATATGTGCATGGCAAATTGAATTTAATCGCTCTCGGAGCGATTAACCCTGCTTCACTCGAAAACGATATTAGTGTAAGATATACGGAATAAAAAATGACCTATATTTCACGTACTCTCGTTAACGACCTACTTAATATATTATAATGCAGTTAATCACGATTGTAAGAGTAAGATGTCGAATTAATTATTAAGAGATTGCCTATAAAGAATTGCTTATAGAGATAACATGGAATAATATATTATTATTATCCTATTATATATTGCGCAATACCCCCAATTCATAGAAATATTACAATTCTTTACATCACCATGAAAGCAACATTAATCATGTAATGCTGAAAGATCGTTTTTTACGAAATTAAATATTTGACATGATTCATCGGCATTTACTATAATATAAGCATTTTTACTTACAACTTTTACTTCAATAGTATATGGTACACGTCATAGATATTAGAGCAACATGTAATCCATAGGAAAAAAAGATCAATGTGATTATGTGAATATTCCCTTGGCATTAGAAGGCAATTAGCACAGAGATAGCTAATACAAATAACATGTCTCATTTAGAAGAAAAATAATATTTCATTTTGCAAGCATAATGTATTTCACTTTGACATACATTCCTTCTATAAAATATTCAGGGAAAATAATACACAAATCATATTAATAAGAGATAAAATAGTATATACTGAAGAGATTTAAGTGATGCATGATAAAATATATAATTTATTACTTTTTTTTTTCTATCAATACTCTCTCTCTTTATTGGTCTGTCTTGGTAATTTACGAAACACAGTACAATAATTCTTAATTTTATCAGTCATTTATTTTTATAAATTTTATTTTTTTCTTTATTCAAAAGCTACTAGTCATTGTCAGTTCATTCAGAAATGATCATAATTCTTGCCTTAATAGACATAAAGTGTTAAATTTGTGCACTAAAATATAAAATATAAAATAGATAATGCTTCAAAGTATATCTACATTTTAAGCAGTAAACATCGTTTGTAATGAGCTAATGCATACTTCTTTCTGCATCAAAAGGAATTTGCACATTCTGTTTGACTTATTATCAACTTAGGCTAATTAATATAGCTAAAAGCAAATATAAATAGGTTTATCGAATCTTTTTTGTGTATAATATCGTGTATATATATATATA